CCAAGGAGGGGTCGCTATGAGTCGGGGCTGACTCGATGGCAAACAACAACAACATATAGCAGAGGGGTCAAGCCTGGTTTCTGGAGCCACCCCATGATGGCTGTATGTGTGGCCTTTGGCAAGTTAGCTTGACCTTAGACTGGTTTCCAGATCTGTAAAAGGGGGTTAATGTTAGGACTTAACTCCTTGGGGCCGTGAGAGGGTTAAATGACTTAATACACGTGGCAGCCCTGAGAGTCGGGGAGGTGGTATGCGTTACTTAAATGGTTGCCTTCCTTACTGAGTGGCCCACGCTACAGCCCATGTTCTTTTCTGACTCATGAAGGAAGTGTGACTTGTCACGTGAGGGCTCAGATATCTGGTTTTGGGTGCTGGCCTGACCCTGCCTGGGTGGGAGGGTGAGGGGAGAGCACTGCCTAGTTTCTAGGATGGAGCTGGGCATCTCGAAGGGGCTCCACCTGGCTGTCCCTGTTCCAGTTCCCCTGCCAGCCTCCTGGTAGGCTTATTCGTCCCAGGAGGGGAGAGAGCGAGTGGGGACAGGCCCCATGCCCTGAGATGGACCTGGGATCTCGGCCCTTTCCCAAGTGGCAGGAGGAGGACAGGCCATTGGGAGAAGGGGTGAGGTCAGGGGATGCTCCTGGAGTCGAGGGCCCAGTTGGGGGCTCTGGTGTGGCTCTGGGGCAGCAGTCCCAGCCTGCCCTTCCTTCCAGGTATGACCTATTGAGAGGCCTGGAGAGTCCCCTTCTCCCCCTTCTTCCTTTCTCTCTGCTGGGTCCTCCCAGGCACGGAGGTCCCCAACCCAGCCTTCTCTGCACTGACGGGCCTGGCCCGCAGCCTGCCTGGCCCCAGACCGTTACCTGCAGACACGAAAAAGATGCCGGCACTCAGGATGATGTTGTGTCGGGTCTTGTAGAACTCGCTGGCTGCAATGCAGAGTCCACCCATGAAAAGCAGAATCACGCTCAGGATCGGGAAGATGCTCGAGGCCCTCACGGCCCCTATGGAACACGGAGGGTCAAGGGAGAGAGAACAGCATGGCCGTGAGCCTGAGGGGTGCAGGGGGGATGCGAGAGAGCAGCCCACGGGAGAGGGGGTTTGTGCACACAGGCCCCGGGTCAGGTTGCTTTCCAATAATACTAGCGGGGGGGAGGAGTGAGCCAGCCACTGGCCAGCTCGTAGCCCTCCAGGGCTCTATACTGCCTCCAGGACAAAACCCAAACTTCCGACCTCAGCACAAAGGGCCCTTGTGTGTGACTTGGCCTGTACCTGCCTGCCAGCCTCATGCCCTTGGTCCCCTCTTGCTCCCATAGCCAACTTCCAATGACAAGCCACCTCCTTTTGTGCACTGACTCTTGCCATATGGAACTTGCTTACTGGGACATCTTTCCCATACTTCTTCACTTAGCAAACTTCTATTCATCCATCAAAGCCCATCTCAATGTCCTCTCCTGTGTGGAGCCTTCCCTGACTTTCCTAGGCAAAGTCATTAGCTCATTCCTATGCATTTTGGGTCCTTGGGGGCATGTCGAGAGGTGATGTGCCACCTAGAGTGGTGATGTGGAGCCATGTGGCCTGGATTTGAATCTGACTCTGGCATTCATTAGCTGGGTAAGCATGAGTGAGTTACAGCACCTCTTTGTGCCTCAGTTTCCTCATTGTAAAACAGGGATGGGAATGGTGCCTGGTCCCTAGGATGGCTGTGAAGATTAAATGAGTTAATTGTATTTTTCAGGGAGCTCTGGTAGCATAGTGCCAAGGCACTTAACTACTAACCAGAAGGCTGGCGGTTCAAACCCAGCAGCCATTCCTCAGAAGGAAGATGGGGCAATCTACTTCTGTAGTGATACTGCTTCGGAAACCCAAGGAAGGGTCGTTATGAGTCGGGTCCTACTTGATGGCACATAATACCACCAACAACAGGGCATTTAGTAAACAGCCAATAAATGATAGTTATTATAACAAATATCTGTTTATATGGCTGCTTCCATGGGGGTCCAGTGAGGGCAAGGACTGTGGCTTCTTTTTTTTTAAAATTCTGTCTCTTCATTCTCTCTCTCACCAGCATCTAGGTTAGTGCCAAGGACAAGGACAAGTGGGTCTTCAATACGAGCTTGTTTGGGACAAGGATGCAGTGGGTTCCTGGTATGAGCTTGTTGAGGAGTAAATGTGGTGAGGTGGCCCAGAGAGAGGAAGCAGCAGTCAAGTTAGAAAGAAAAGAGAAAGGGAACAAAAACCCCAAACCCAAACAAAC